TAACTTCAAGAGTTCTTGAGATTTTCATTGATTTTGGTGCTAAATTCGTTGTTTAAGATGTTATTTGGGCAATTTGATCGCACGATCAAGTTCGTATGATGTTTTTAGACTTGTGTACATGTTTGTTTTGGAGCCCCGAGGGCTCGGGTGAGTTTTGGATAGGCCGTAGAGTGTTTTGAGATTTAAGGGAAATAACTGTTATGTTGCAGATCTATAGACTTCGCAAATCGCAAATGCGAGCATAGCATTTGTGAAGATACATCGGAATTGCAATCAGAGGGCAGGGAAGGGAACCTTCGCATTTGCGAATTTCAATGTCGCAATTGCGACTCCAGCAGTCATCGCATTTGCGAACAATAGTTCGCATTTCGAAGTCAGCATCGCAGGCCAAGCTTCGCATTTGCGAGTTCGCATCTGTGAACCTGTTATCGCAAATGTGATATCTGGGACTGTGTAAATTATAACTTAGACGGGATTTCAAATCATTCTTCCAAATTTTTAAACCCCAAGCTCCCATAGGCGATTTTCCAAAAAAGGTTCTTTCCCAAATCATAGGTAAATAACTTTTAACTCGTTTCTTTCAATCTACTTCATCTTTTTACAAGATTTCATCACAAAATCTAAGGATTTTCATGGGAAATTGGGTGTTTTTGGGTGAAATTTGGGAATTTCAAAATTCGGGGATTTAGACCTCAAATTAAGGTCAGATTCCAAAATTAATTGCATATTCGAGCTCGGGGGTGAGTGGGTAATCGAGTTTTGGTCCGAACTTCGAGTTTTAACCAAGCAGGACCGGGGTCGATTTTTGACCTTTTGGGAAAAATATTGGAAAAACTATAATTAAGCATTGGGTTGGAGTTCTTTAGCATTTATTGATGTTATTAAGCTAATTATGACTAGATACAAGTGAATTGGAGGGAAAATCTAGAGGGAAAGCAGTATTTGAGGCTTGATTGGTGGCGGTGGAATCGAGGTAAGTATTTGGCCTAACCTTAGCTTGAGGGAATAAGTGTTGTGTCCTATTTGCTACGTGTTAGTGTTGTGTATGATATATAGGTGTGGTAACGAGTATCTATACGTCGGTGTCGAGCATGCTCATAAGTCTTAAATTGTGGCCGTTGTGATTCTTATTATGTACTATTCATGATTAACTTGATGATTATCAATGTTGATGGTATTTTCTTGGTAATTGACCATTATTGAGTATTGGCTCAAGTTGAGATTTGTTTTGCGAAGTTAACTGTTGAAACAAGATTGGTTATAGCTGATTCCCTTGCCGGGGTGTTTGTTTCTATTGTTGATTCTCTTGCCGAGATATTATTGTTTCTACTGTTTGGGTGAGAAATGAGTGATAAAGCACGAAGGGTGATGTCGTGCACATTCATACTTATGCATATGATGAGGAAAGAGTGATAAAGCACGAAGGGTGATGCCGTGCACATTTACATTTATATTGATGCATATGGTGAGGAAGAGAGATAAAACACAAAGGGTGATGCCATGCATATTCTTATTATTCACATGGTGAGGAAGACTGATAAAGCACGAAGGGTGATGCCGTGCACATTTTCATTATTGATTGCATGGTGAGGATTGAGAGTAAAAGCACGAAGAGTGATGTCGTGCATCAATTTTTCTGTACTGTGATTATTTGGTGTTATCGGTTCAAGTGCCTTAATTGTTTTGTTTCCGTTATCTCTGTGTTTTCTTATTCTAGTATCCCTCATAGCATGTTGCCCCTTGCCGTAAATTTCTGATAGCTTCTATTATTGTTATTCTGTTAGATATTGTTTAATTGCACAGATTTATGGTGTTGGTCGTATCCTAGACTCGTCACTACTTCGCCGAGGTTAGGCTCGGCACTTACCAGTACATGGAGTCGGTTGTACTGATGCTACACTCTACACTTTTGTGCAGATCCCGATATTGGACCATTCGGACCGTAGTTCAAGGTTTCTGCCTTCAGTCTAGTGGAGACCCGAGGTAGTCCTGTAGGCGTTTGTAGGCCTTGGCGTCCCCTTCTATACTGCTCCTTTTCTATTTTATCTATTTCTAAGACAGATTTGTATTTCCTTGTTTAGACCACTATTTGTAGTATTCATAGACAGTACGTGAAATTGTGACACTAGTTCTAGGTGGAGTTTTACTTCGGAATCGTGTTTCTATTAAGATAATCTGTTAAATTGTGTTTTTCCGCATTTATTCCACTGATTTTCTTATGATAACTGGTAAATTGTTAAATGATAAAGTAAAAAGGTAAAATGATCAGTAACATTGGCTTGCCTAGCAAGTTCAATATTAGGCGCCATCATGATCCCGATGGTGAGAATTTTGGGTCGTGACATGAATGTCTAAGAATTTCTACAAATCCTGGTTTAAAAGAGATACATTTGTTCTCGAAATGAAAAGAGACAGGAAATCTAAGATAGAGGGAAGGGGACTCGAGGGTCTTCGAACGCCAGCAGATCTACCTTGGGTCTCCGGTGGACTGAAGGCAGCAACCCAAACTCTACTCACGAGGTCCGGTACCGAAATCCGCACAGAAAGTGCAGTATCAGTATAACCGACCCCGTGTACTGGTAAGTGCCGAGCCTAACCTCGGCGAAGTAGTGACGATACTAGGACACGGCAACAATATACAAACTTGTGCAGTTAAATCATATACGAGAAAGTAATAACAATAGAAATTTAACAAAACATAACGGAAGGCATCACCCTTCGTGTTTTTACTCTCGTCCTCACCATAAGAAACAATAGAAACAACACGGCATCACCCTTCGTGCATTGACTCTCTCATAATCATGGCACGACATCACCCTTCGTGCATTAACTCTCATAGATTATGACACAGCATCATCCTTTGTGCATTAACACTCATAGAGTATGGCACGACATCACCTTTCGTGCATTAACACTCACTCACAATGTCGTGTATGGCATTACCCTTCGTGATTTACACTCTTCCTCACCCAAACAATAGAAACACTAATATCCCGAAAAGAGTATCAACAATAACCAATCTCGTTTCAACAGTTATCTTCACAATAGGAATCTTAATTTGAGTCAATACTCAACTAATATCCAAAACAGGGAAGAATATATAATAAAATTGGTTTAGCATGGAAAATTAACCAATTAAAGCCTGATTAGTACCTATAAAGGAACACCACAATCACAAGTATAAGACTCACTCGCATGCTATGACCTAATAACGATGTATAAATACTCGTCACCTCACCTATACGTCGTACTCAACAACTAAACAACTAGCAATTAAGACAACAACACCTAATCCCTCAAGCTAAAGTTAGCCACAACACTTACCTCGATTCCACGACCAAAATCAAGCCTCATTTACCGCTTTACCTCTCTGTTCCACCTCCAATTCACTCGTATCTAGACACAATTAACTTAATATCATCAATAGATGCTTGAGAAATCAATTCCAATGCATAATTATAGGTTTCCCAATACTTTCCCCAAAAAGTCAAAAATCGACTCCAGGCCTGCTTGGTCCAAACTCGAAATTTGGACCAAAATCCGATTACCCATTCACCCCCGAGCCCGGATATACAATTGATTTTGGAATCCGACCTCAATTTGAGGTCTAAATCCCTAAATTTTAAAATTCCTAAATTCTACCCAAGAACACCCAATTCCACCATGAAAAGCCCTAGATTTTGTGTTGAAATCTTGTAAAAAGATGAGATAGATTGAAAGAAAATGAGTTAAGAATCATTTACCTATGATTTGTGCAAGAATTGGTCTTTAGAAAATCGTTTCTTGAAGCTTAGGGTTTGAGAATTTGAGAAATGAATTGAAAATCCCGTCTAAGTCCCTTTTTGCACAGTCGCAAATGTCGCATTTGTGATAGGAGCTTCGCTATTACGAAGCTCGCAAATGTGAGACAACCGTCGTAAATGCGAACCTACCGCATTTCTGCTACTGTCTCAAATGCGAGCCTTTGGTCGCATTTGCGATGATCCATCTCCCTTAACTACTTCGCATTTGCGAACTCTGCTGGCCCAGATTCCTAGTCTCATTTGCAAAGAAAGGCTCGCAAAAGCAAACCCTACAAGGCTCACAATTGCGATGCTTGATCTCGCAATTGCAAGATCAGGGGCCTGCAACTGCTGAAGCATACCAACAACCTTTTCCTAAGTCCAAAATCATTCCATAGCCTATCCAAAACTCACCCGAGCCCTCGAGGCTCCAAACCAACCATGCACACAAGTCTTAACACTTTATACGAACTTGTTTGTGCGATCAAATCGCCAAAATAACACCTAGAACTATGAATTCAACACCAAAACACATGACATTTTCAAGATGGTTTCAAACTTCCTATTTTGTCAACCAAAGGTTTGAATCACGTCAAATCAACTCCGTTTTTTACCAAATTTCCCAGATAAAGTTTAAATATTATAATGGACCTGTAGTGAGCTCCGAAATTAAAATAAGGGCCCGATACCAATAAATTCACACATCATTCAATTTTCATAAACTATTATATTTCCAATTAAACAATTTTCTTCAAAAATTCATTTCTCGGGCTAGGGACCTCGAAATTTAATTTCGGGCATACATCCAAGTCCCATATTTTACTACGGATCCTCCGGATCGTCAAATTACGGGTCTGGTTACACAAAATGTTTACCAAAATCAACTTAAACCAATTTTAAAGGCAAAACTCAATATTTTTTTTCTCAAATTTTCATATAAAGCTTTTCGGAAGCACGCTCAGACTGTACACACAAATCGAGAAGAGAGAAAATGAGGTTTTCAAGGCTCCGAAATACAGAATTGGATTCTAAAATAAAAGATGACCCTTTGGGTCATCACAAAGGCTATATTGACAAATTTAGCTATTTAGGCTAGTCTTATAATTTAGGCCTACTTAGCTTCCTTGCTAGCCTAAGGATATTTTAGTCATCTAGCCTAAATAGCACTCTAGTATAAATAGTCCCTTCCTCTCATTTTGAAAGGAAGCTTTTGACGATGGATTGCTAAACAAAATACCTCAAGGCTTAAGGTATCTTTTATTTCTGTTTATTTACCACGTTTTCTAAATTATCTATGTTAGGTTTATTATGTATGAGTTTATGTTCATACTCTTGGATTATCTTTTGTATTTGGACGTTAATTCATTGTTATAGTTGATATGTCTTATACTAGGTGCTTTTGATTGCATTCTTTACTTAGCTTAATCCGTATTTCCTATTAGTCTGGAGGTTTTGGATTGTTCTATCAATCCTTGGGTCTTTGTTTTGATTATCATGTAATCTAAAAATAAAAAAATTCGAAAATTCAGAAAAAATTGAGAGATCATTGTTCATCCCATTCTTTTGAGGTCTGTTGGAGTTGTATGTGCTGAAAATCGAATTCCTTCTCCTCTTTGTTTAATTTTTGATTCCGAAAATTATTGAATCCACTGAAATTGATTGATTTTAAGTGGAAATCCTTGGATTACTTGGGTTCTAGTTCGAATTTCACCACTGTATCTCCATTTGTGACTTCAAATTTTATCGGCTTAACTCAGATTTGAATTTCGTTGAGGAATTGTGTTTGAATTCGATTGGGTAGTCATGATTTTGGTTGGAAACATCATTGTGAAGCTCCATATGAAGATTTGAGAACGATTTGAGCTGAATTTCTAGGGTTTGTGTTCAGAAAAATTCGAACCATTTTGACGAAGAAGAAGACCTAGGGTTGTCGATTTCTTGAGCATTGAACTAAATAAGTTACTGGGATTTGTTCGAGCTGCTATTGGGAAGCCGTATTCTAGATTTGAGCTCGTTTTGCGAAGGTTTGGTTAGGTTTCGATTGAGTCAGTTGAAGCTGTTTTGCGAAGAAGAAAACCACTAGGGTCTTTCGATTGAGGAATTGTTCGCACAAATTAAACATTGGGGATTGATCTTAGAGTGGTTTGGAGGCAGCATCCAAAGTTTTATTGCATCTGCTGAAGGATTGATCAAGAATCGAATTCTCTGCCATTGAAGCTCGAAGAACTTGGGCGAACAGCTGCGATTTCTGGAATTGAGTTTTTGATTGTATTGCATAGACTACACAACGTCTCTACGCATCGACGCATAGCTGACTCCAGCAATTCATCGTTGAAGAATTGCACAGGTTTGATTTCTGAGTATTAAGCTAAGCTCGACTTCTGAAAAATTGAAGATTGAAATTCATCTTTAGCTCTTTGGAATTGATTGAGTTTGAGTTCATAAGTCGACTCGAGCTTCTTGTTGATTTGTTATTGAGTGAATTTGTGAGCGCCACCGGAGGTTGCTGTTGAATTGTGAACTAGATAACTGTTTAGAGCTTGTTGTGAGACGCTGAAGTTTTTTCCCTGTGTTTTGAAGTTGAATTCTGCTTCTATGAGTTTGACTACTATTTGGTGCGACTGTTTGTCCTTTCCGAATCTTGAGAGCTGCTGCACTATTTAGAAATTCTCTGCACTATGTTGCTTGCTGCTGTAACTAAAGTTTGAGATAGGTAGCAGCTTATAATCTGATTGGGGATAGCTATTCAAACTGATTAAAGAAAAACAACTACAGCTGGGGTGAACTGAAAATTTCGAAGTGAGGTTTGAAAAACAGCTGTTGTAAGTATTGGAATTCTGGTTTCATACCTGTTATGCACTTCTGAGTTTATTTTTGTTAAGTTGACTGTGGGATTCAATTTCTAATCCTTGTAGTAAATCTATCTCAGTTTCTGCTGCTAAGGATTGAGTTTGCTGCTGAAGTTCTTTTTTGGTTTATGAGTTTTGAGTTGAAGGTTGTCGATTAAGCATATACTGAAAATAACCTCTGGTTGTTCTGAGTGTAGTTATGGTTTTAATATTCTGCCGAGTGTTGGGTAAGTGTATTGCTGACATTGCAGCTTTAGATAGCATTTTGAGTTCGGAAATTAGAGGCTTTGAGCTGAAGTGTTGGGCTACAGTTTAAGCGACAAATATGCACTGTTGAGCTCCAGTTAAGCTGCAAACATGCAGCACCTTATTCAGTTAAGTTCCAACTGCATTTTTTGCACAGCTGTGCCTTGAAATAAGTCTTCTGATAGTTGTCCATGAGAATAGTTAATGTGACTAATCAGTTGAGTTTTAGAACTGTTTGGGACTGCATTTGAAATCAGCACAACTGAAGCCAAACTTCTGCAATTTCTGCACAGTTAATTCTACACAGTCCAGCTTCGGCTGATGAGTTCGGTCACGACCCAAAATTCATTAAAGGCCGTGATTGCGCCGTACACCACTGTCAGGCAAACCAACACTAAATAGTTAATTAAATTCTCATTTTAATATTTTTGAAATCATAAATTTCCTTCAACTTAACTAGTAAAAGATGAACTTTACAGTATAATAATAATGTTTTCCAATTTCAACACTGAATATCGCATAATCATCTCCGGTGTCACAAGTGCATGCGCATTTACTAGGAAATAAAATAAAATACATTAACTGTCCGGAATACAAATTTGGACAGAAAAGAAAATACAAGTACTCCGAAGGAGACTCTGCTGGCTGCGGATCGTCTCATAAGATGCTGCTCACCTAAGTCCCTGTATCAACCACGCCGTTGCACTCACAAGGCCACTAGACATACATGTGCCAGTACAACAAAATATACCACAAGTGTAGTATGAGTACGAAAACAACGCGTATCCAGTAAGTATCATGTCTAATCTTGAAGAAGAAGTAACGAGAGGTCGACTCCGACACTTACTATGGCCAACAATAATATACCGCTAATATAATAAATTATGGATTTTATAAGGTGACTGTAAACTCAATAACATGAAGCAGGTAAACAATTCTTTTGTTAATAGGAAATTTTTAAAATTTATTTTTATCTTTTAACAATTTATATCTCCGGCCAATTAGGCCACATCAATTATCAGTAATTCCAGAACAATCAATTAAGTTATGCGCAAATCATGTCGAGGTCGTATGACACGATCCAACATAATATTTAAACTGTGCACATCCAGAGGGTCGAACAACGCGAACCATAGATGCATCTATTTAATCTGTCATGGCATTCGGCCCGTTCCACCAAAGGAAAACACAATCATTAGTCAATCAAGAATTCATCAAGGAGCAATTATCCAAAGAAATGTAAATCCCCTTTTTACCAGTCAAGAAAACGAGGTTTAACCTTTTGGAAATTCATTTACCAAGTTCGATATGATTTAAGCAATTTAAATTGACAACAAGGTTATCAATTTCGCAAGTATAGCATGCTTTTGGGTCCTAGACTACTCGGACTTAAGCATAATAGTAGCTACGCACGGACTCTCATCACCTCGTGTGTACGTAGCCCCCCACAAATAGAGGCACATATTGAATTATTTCACCTATGGGGTTAATTCCCTCTTACAAGGTTAGAAAGGAGACTTACCTCGCTCCAAAGCTTCATAACCGGCTCACAAGCCCTTCCGACGACTCAAATCGGTGGCCAATGCTCCAAAACTAGTCAATAATTGTGCAAACCCATCAATATATACTCAAATACTCATTTTAATCTTATTTATAACAATTTCCCAACTCCGCTTGAGAAGTTGATAAAATCACTCTCGGGCTCACGTGCCCAAATTCAAAGATCAACTTTACCCATAACTCCACTAACTCAAATATATAATTTGTTTCCTATTCCATGCCCAAATTAGTGGTCAAAATCCAAGAATATCAATTTCTAAATTTTTCTTGAAAATCCCAAATCTCTACCAATTTCCATGCTTAAATCCTTTTACAAACTAGGTATTTAACTTGCAATAGGTGAGGATCACTCACCTTGTGTTTCCCGATGAACATCTCTCCTTGAAGCTCTCCAAAATCGCCCCTCCAAGTGGGAAATGGAAGAAAAATGAGCCGAATCCCGTCTTTAAAACATTTTTCGTAGCCGTCCTTCTTCACCTGCAGTACACCGGCCGCACCTGCGGAAAGTCCATCGCAGGTGCGGTTCCCTCCAAGCCAGGCGAAATCCGATTCTGTTGTTACCCATGCGCTTCTGCCCCTTCGCACGTGCGAAGCTCATCTCGCATCAGTGAGATCGAAGATGCAGAAATACCCTCGCATCTGCGGCCATCCCAGCTCCGTTCAAATGTCGCTTCTGCGAACCTATAGTCGCACCTGCGGCCCTTTCCACGCAGGTGCAATTACACCAGATACCAGCAATCTTAGCCTTTCTCAAATTCCAAATTCGATCCGTTAACCATCCAGAATCCATGAATCGCACCCGGGACCCCGTCCAATTATACAAACCAGTTCCAAAACATAACGCGGACCTGCTCGAGGCTTTATATCACATCAAACAACGCTGAAATCATGAATCGCAATCCAATTCAAGCTTTATGGACTTTAGAACTTCGATCTTCTTCGTTCGATGCCGAAACTTATCAAATCACGTCCGATTGACCTCAAATTTTACACACAAGTCACATTTGACATTACGGACCTACTTTAACTTTCGGAATCGAAATTCGACCCCGATATCAAAAAGTCGACTTCCCGTCGATCTCCTACAAAACCTTCAAATTTTTAGCTTTCGTCAAATGACCCCAAAATGACCTACGGACCACCGAATCCACTTCTGGACGCTCGACCAACACCAGAATCACCATACAGAGCTATTCCCAAACTCGAAATCTCAAACGGACATTGATGATATTGAAATGCACTTCAACCCAAATTTATGAAATTCTTCCAAAATGCTAACTTTCACAATAGGCGCCAAAACGCTCCGGGGTCATCCAAAACCCGATCCGGACATACTCCTAGGTCCAAAATAATCCTACGAACCTGTTGGAACTTTTAAATACCAATTCCGAGGCCGTTTACTCAAAAATCCAACCTTAGTCAATCCTTCCAACTTAAGGCTTCCGAAATGAAAATTTTCCTTCCAAATCAACTCTGAACTTCCGAAATTCCAATTCCGACCACGCATACAAGTCATGATACCTGAAGTGAAGCTGTTCATGTCCTCAAACTTCCAAACGACGTGCTAGAGCTCAAAACGATCGGTTAGGTCGTTACAAGTTCAACAACCTATAGTTTCTTCCCAGTTTAAGTTTTGCAAATATGACCAGTTTTGCAAAAATAATCGGTTTTTGAGAATATGACCAAACTTTGAAAAGTGTCTAGCTTTGTAGTTTCTTTTCTTTCTCTCTCTTCCAATTTGTAGTGAACTGAACTCTCAACTAGTGTAAACTTGATATTAGTTCATATTAAGTTTATTTCTAGTTTCTTTGTGTGCTTTATTTTATTTCGTGCCATTTCTTTCATGCTTTTCTCTTCTAATTTCGTTGTGAATTGTTTGGATAAAGTCCGTTAGCTTTTAATTGTGCTTTCTTTGGTCACATACATTCCACTCCGAACTGATATTTGATTGCCTACTTGGATTTATTTGAGAATGTTGGTTGTGAAGAGAACTTTTAGATACCCTTGTGTGGAAAAAGGCTAGAGTGGTGAATATATAGAGTGAAACACTAAGGGAGTGAATAGTAAGGTCCTATTTTTGACTAACCAACTTTCTTGCTTTAAGTTTTCTTTTGTAGGTACAAGGAGTCATAAGGGAGGTATGGATGGTTATGTGGGTTCTTCTTATGAAACTAATTGTGCTTCTCCAAGTGTTGAAATCTTTTATGATGAAAGTGGGAGAAAGATAAATTTGAGGCATTATGTGGTGAATGTAGAAGGCTATGATGGTTGCTATAAGTAATCACTATGCGACCAACTTTATTGCTTCTTCCTTTGTTTAATGGTTGGATTGAGTTGTATTCCAAGGGAGTCGCCTTATAAATTTCGGGGTGAGCAGGTTGATAGAGGTGTGATGGTTACCATAACCAAAGGAGACTTTAAAGAAGTGGTTTGATGTGATGTATATCCTATGAAGTATTGCCATGTTCGATTGGGAAAACCTTGGTTTCTTGATCATAATATTCCTATTGAGGGACAATCTCCCTCCTCCATCACTCATACCACCTCAAGAGCCTCGAATGATTAACAACCCTCTTTTTTCAACATGATCATGAGACCATCTTGAATGAGTTGGATGCCATCCAACAAATTTCTAATGGAGAATATAGGAGGAATGAAGATATGTTGGTGAGAAAGGCTGCCTACTTCTATGGAGGAAGAAGTGAAAAATACACAAAGACATAATATTTTTTACACTAGATGTTTGATTTTGGATCGGATGTGCACTTTGGTAGTTGATGGAGCAAGTTGTGACAATTTGGTGAGTGCTACCTTAGTGAAAGAGTTAAAGGTGGAAACTTTCAATCATCCTAGACCTTGTAAGTTGCAATGGTTGAATACTTGTGGCGAACTTAAAGTGAACAAAGTAGTGAAGATTCCTTTCATGATTGGGGATTACAAGGATGAAGTAATTTGTGGGGTTGTGCCATTACATGCTTGCCGTATCATCCTTGGGCGACCTTGGTTGTGTGATAGAGATGTTTTGCATCAAGGAGGGAAGAATCACTATTCTCTTAAGTGGAAAGGCAAGTTGGTGACACTTGAACCATTGGAACCAAGTCAAGTCTTGAAAGAACAAATGAGTTCGAGAACATCCTTGAAAAATGCAAAGAGAAAAAGTAAGGATGAGAGACAAAAGAAAGAGAGAAGTGAGGGAGAGAAAAGTGACAACTCTAGAGTGGAAAAAGGAGAGAATGTATGGAGTGAAGTGAGTGAGTTGTCACAAGAAAAGAGTGAAGAGCTTGACAAGAAAATGAGAGAAAAGAAAGTGGAAAAACAAAAAGAGATCGAGGATTTTCCTTATTCTAATGCTACTAATCTTTCTTCTTTCTCTAGTTGTTTTGTATCTTGTGTAGGGAATTTTGGAGAGGAGCCATCAAGTAACATTCAACCTACTTTGAAGAGCTTGAAAGAAGATCAATCTATCTTTTCAAGAGAACTTATGGAATTTATTGAGCAAATTCAAGGTAAAGAGAATACTTTAGAAGTGCTTCAAGGTAAAATAGCTTATCCTTCTACTCTTGATACTTTAGTTGATTGTGGTGACACTTTGAGTTTGAAAGATTCCTATGATATTGATGAGTTTGATAATTCTTTATCTTGTGATGAGAAAAATAATTGTGGCTTGCAAC